ACAAAAAATATATAAACAAACTTTTTCAGTATGAATCCCTAGGTACACAGCTCAAGTTGGAAAAATGTATAGATATGTAGAAGAAACAATACTAACATATTATATTAAACGAACGATACAAATGAAATACACCAAATTAACAATTCGTTCAATAATGTGTGTGACTGACACATAGATGGCGGCACTAATACTAAATAAATATTTTTTTTCGAAAGTGGCAACCTTTTTAGGCTTACTGTCAAAATCATATGTTAATCCGACCATTTGTTTACAAGTTACAGTGCTTTAAGTGACGCTACTTTTGAGTTTTCAAAAAAAAAATGAATTCAAAGCAATTCCGTGTGCTGATTTATCATTGTTTTTTAATGAAAAAAAATACTCTTCAATGCCAGGAATGGCTTGAAAAACATTATTCGGACTCTGCTCCATCAAAAAGAAGCATTTGTTATTGGTATGCCGACTTCAAACGTGGTCGTACAGACACCGATGACATTCCATCTACTGGACGGCCAAATGACGCTGTTATTCCGGAAAACGTTGAAAAAACACTGAAAATCATTATGTTCGACCGTAAAATGAAAGTGAGGGAGATTGCTGACATTCTACAGATATCAGCAGACAGTGTACACACCATAATACACAAACATTTGGGTATGAAAAATGTGTTTTCCAACAACGAATCGATGATTCAAAGAGCTGTTTGGACATCTTTACGCGCAATAAGTCGGAGTTTTTGCGTCGGTACATCACGATGGATGAAATATGGATCCACCATTTCACTCCAGAGTCAAATCGGCAGTCTGCTGAGTGGCATACAGCCGGTAACAGCCGCCCAAAGCGACCAAAGACGCAGCAGTTCGCTGGCAAGGTTATGGCGTCTGTATTTTGGGATGCGCATGGAATAATATTCATGGACTATATCCAGAAGGGGAAGACCATCACAGCGACTATTATATAGCGTTATTGGAGCGTTTGAAAGACGAAATCGCAAAGAAACGACCTCATATGACGAAGAAAACAGTTTTGTTCCACCAAGACAATGCACCGTGTCGCAAGTCGATGAAAACGATGAAAATAGTCCGATATATTTTATTAAGATTTTCTTGTAAATGAATAAGTATAAAATACTGTGTGGCAACACTATTCAAAGAGAAAGAGCAAATAAAACTTTTTTATGTTCCCAACCTTAAAGGTGAACAGATATTTTTATTTTTCTATACTGAACACTAGACTCCTCTTTTATATCACTGAAAAAGAAGAACTCAATAGAAAACCGTCTTCAAAAAGTATTTCGTATGTATATGTAATGGTTATGTATGTTATGTAATGGATGGTTTCTGGTCATGGAGCGCCAGATAACAAACAGATTTATTCTAAATTTTAATACATATATATGAAAAAATAAATATATACGGAAAAAGTAAACCTGATTTTATAAAAAAAATTTAAAATATATACAGATGTTAGCTTTAGCTGTATCGAATCTTAAACAGAATTTAAAATCTACATTTAGGTCTGATTTATATGATATGTATATAATATATAAATATATATAATATCATATATAAATATATATAATACAATATATGAATATATATATTATAATATATTACTATGTATAATATAATATATAAATATATACACTGTAATTAAAAGCATCAATGTGTAGAAGCTACTGTAATTATGGGAATTTGCAGTGTTTCACATATGAAAATGTGTCAATAATATTAAATAATTATGATTTGAATTATTATAAATAATAATCATAATGTACACCTATACTGTACAACACAATATAATTAAAAACAATGTAATAATCATTAATAATTATTTAATATTACAGAAACTTAATCTCTCCTAAATTACTGCACTACACTTACCTTATAGTATACATCCGGTACATATTGTTTATCTGATGATTCACGAACATAGCCAAGTTCAGGAGCATCCTTAGTTGGTATTAAGCAATTATCGCGCACTAAAGCCATACATTGTGCAGAAACTGCATATCCTTCCATATGAACTTGTTTAGTTTTATCTCCTATAACAAAGCAAATAAATGCATTAATGCTATTAAAGACAATTATAGAATTAAAATTTTTAATCAAACCTGTAACACAAACTGTAACAAATTTCGAACCAAAATAACCACTTGAAGAATATTTGCAAGGATTTGGATGACGATTTTGAAGTTCACCAGCAGTTATACATTCTTGAGCTGTTAGGAAATGAGTCTCAATGCCACGCAATTGTTTAACAGTACCGTTTGCACTGTCTTCAGTAATAAGATCAGTAAATATCCATCCAATCTTAAATACAAATTAAAAATAAATTTATTTTTTAGTTTATTTCAATTTATTAACATGAAAAATTATAAATGATACAGACCTTCTTTAAACCTAACGCTGCAGCCACTTCCTCAACATCTTTAGCACCTTCGTCGTGTAGTACTTTAATAGAATCTTTAGTTGATTCTTGTGGTGGTTCATAAATTGCTGCAACTTTAGCGCGTATGCCTAATGGTACATCGGTATGTACTTCGTATGTACCATATAGATACCCCAAGCGTTGATGACCTGTTGCACGCCAGTAATTCAAAAAACGCTCCACTATTGTTGTATTTTCAAACATAACATTGTCAACGTGTCTATAAACTTGACGATTTAAAGTTATAGCTGACGGCTGACATTTGGAGCAGATTCCCTTTGGCCATGGTGGATGTTCACGACAGCCAGGTTTAATGCGACAATTAATATCATCCATCGCTACATATTTACCATCAATACCAGATTTTTGTTTACGTATATATGAGTTAAATGAAAGATGCTTAATTTTATGATCTTTTAAATAGGTTTCATCATATGGTTCCAGAGGAGAACAATGTAAGCAACGACCATTAGCATTATGATGGCATCTTAAATATTAATAACAACAGTTACATTAATTAAAAAACTACATTAAAATAATGAATAAAAAATTTATGACATGGAATATAACAAAATTGAATAACCAAGTAGAAAACATCTATAAATATAATAAAAATTTATAAAATACAATAAAAATTAACTAAAAATATTAAAACATATATCGCATATAAATAAATTTAATCTTAATATAAACAACAATATTAAATAATTTTATATAATAAAAAATTTATAAAAATAAATTATTATACCAAAAGAATTGATAATAATTTTTATCATAACTAAATTACTCCACCTACAGTCAAATTAAAATTTATACCTAAAACACAGTTTTTAATAAAATGTGTATTAAGAACTGCGCTTATATATTAAGACTTGTTTAAAATAATGGTATTAAAGTAATAATTTAAACAAAATAATTTAACTGTAATATAAAGAAATATAAAAGAAAGTAAAATTATATATTCAATATATATATATGTGATATATATAAAATATATACAGGGCGAAGGACCTATATTAGTAGTCCAGTTTCTTATTCTTAGATAACTTTAAAATAATTTTAGTGTTAACTCAAAAACAATAATAAGAAGAAATATAAATTATATACAAATATAATCATAACAAAATAAAGATGCAGAATGATGCCAAAATTATAATATATATGTGGTATATATAAATAATTTATCAACACAAATAAAATTAATGTTAACGCTAAATTATTAGACAAAAGTACAGTTGAATTTAAAATTAAGAAATATAACTAACACAATATAAACAATAAATTTATAATAAATTATAATGTATTAAAAAAAAATTAGAAATAAAATAAATAATCAAAACAACATGTTACAGTCATTATCAGAAGCGATTTTTTAAATAATTAAATACAATTAAATTTGAATTATAAAAAATAACGTTAGCATTCAAGTATATTATATGGAATAGGTACACAAAAATAAATAACAAAATAATTATAATTCAGGTAATTAAAATTATTTATATATAACATACCAGCATATAAATTAATATATATAACATACTGCATAATATAAATATATGTCATATAAATAAACATATAAATATATATATATAATATTATTATATAAATGTTTGTAATATAAATAGATATAATACAAATATATATAGTATAAATATATTTAATATTATATAAATGTTTATAAAATATATTCATACATATAATACATATGAAAAATAGATATATAAAGATATATAAAAATGAACTATATAGATGTTTATATAAAAAATAATAAAAAAAAGTACAAAGATATCGATTTAAATATACAAAAGGTATAAACTTTAAATATTACATTATCAAAAAACTTAATACAACTCAGATACACATTGTAGCTTAATATATACTGTTTAATTGTTAGTTAAATATAATCTTTATAAAGTTTATTTATAAGTAAACTTTGAAATACAAATATTTAAACAAAGTGTAAATATATATATCACTTTTAATTTTATAAAAACATAACAACAAATATACATATACACTGCATATATACTATATACGTATTGTATGTATAAATTGTATGTATGAACAAATATATAATGAAATATACATATAAATGGCGTTTTCGATTAGTAAATCTGGATTCAATCTATATTTACTCTCGATCTGTAAAAATTTGTTGCCTAATCGAACGTTTTTAGAGAACATTTAACATTTTTGTAAGCATTTACATTTTTTATAAACACATATGATGGATCAAATCAGACTCTATCTGTCAAGTCAGATAAAAAAGTTATTAATTTTAGGAAAATCTTGCTACTCTGGCAAAATATATAGATCTAATTTATTACAAATAATCTCAAGTGTTATACATTTTGCTCGAGATTTCGTAATCGAGAAAAAAACAAAAGTTCACTAAAAATAAATCTGGATTGAAAACGTTATTCCAGATTTACCAATCGAAAACGGCAAAGGACACATCTAATATATAAATTATGCGTAAGTCATTAATTATAAAAATATGATTAATATGATAACATATGAAATATGATTTTAAATTATAATAAAAATACGTATACGTTTAAGTAGTAATGTGATATATATAGAGTGTATTGATTTTGACATATTTAAAAAATCAATTTACGTACAATTTGCTATCCCGCTCACGTTGAATAAGACCATCCATTTTTGCTAACAATAGATCGACCTCATCTTCAGTAATATTTACTGATGGTCTAAATTCTTTAGCACTTGTTGTCGGCACATCATCTGCTGTTGAAGTTTCAAAATCGTCAATAGCAACTGTACTAGTTCTCTACATTAAAATTGAAATTAAAAAATAAAGATTTAGTTATTTTATTTCGTTACCCTCATGGAGTTGCCAGCCATTTGTTTTAAGTAAACCATATCGCCATGTTTGAGAATTGCCCCAACCTTCTGTGGTGTATTTATATGCAACTATAAGATGAATATTGATAAAAAAAAAAGTAATTAATAAAATACAATTAAATTAATTAAAAATAAGGAACTAACCTCAGTAATAAAATTCCGTTCTCTAAATATACCAAATCCATCAACTTTAAGTTTCTTCTGTATAATATCAAAGAATTCCCTGATATTTGAATTTGGAGATACTTCAATACGTTTAATTCCTTCAGCAGATTGGACACGTACAAGCTGAAATATAAAATAAAATTTATAAATCAATATTTATATATAAATGTGAACAGTTATTAAATAAATGTTTTAGTAGAAAGTTTACAATTCTTTTTTTCACAGAAGTCATTCTATTTTCCCTCTGCTGTACTTTGTTTTAGTGTATTTTAAGTAAGTTTTTATTTGGCAAATGTACAATTTTATTAGACACAAAATAATTATTGCCAAAATAAACACGTGATACCTTGTTTTGTAATAATATAATAGGAAATAAAATAAATAAAAAATTAAATAAAAAATAAATTAGAAACACATAATATATTAACTTTAAATGGTAATGATTCAGCTTCATAGAAACACAATAATAATGATATGGTAGTTAACGAAATAATGATATAATTAATAACTTAGCAGTTTTAATTACTAATTTTCATTATTATATATATTACATTTTTTTAACATTACCCTTACCGAACTTTTACATAATAGGAAGAAACGATGACGCGCAAAGGAGTATAAAAAATTTCGTTTCCGGTAAAAAAGTTGTTCTAATTCCATGCAAGCCATTTCTCGTTAGGGATTAAAGAATTTTATCAACTCAATAAAAACAAACTTCGATAGGCCAATTTTCGGGAATTGAAATAAATAAATTTATTGCATTTTTTTGAAGTAGCTTGAAGCTACTGAAAGCCGTAAGGCTTTTGTCTTATATTAATACACTTGTTGCTATCATCAAAGCCAACAATAAACTAAATTATTTTCCGTTATAGCTTTTTTAATGCATTTTAGTTTAAAGGAAAATGCGCAATTCTTTCAATGAAAAGCAAAAAATTAAATTGATTTTGTTTACATTTTAAGAAACACGAAAAAAGTTTTCGAATTTTACACTAAAAAATGGAAAAAACTTATACAAGTAAATAAGTCGCAATACCAAAATATATTAATGGTATTCACGATGTCGAGTAACAAGTACAGTAACTGAGGAATAGTGATGATGGAAAGTGACATCAAAATACATACACAAAAAAGGATTGTGTTTCTTAATTAAATTAGAGTGTAGGAAACCAACGCAACGGTAGTGCATTAACATCGATAATATATTATGTAGTTCAGATGGATGTTTTTAAAATGGATAGATGTTTTTTAAATTAACCCTGGTGATGTTATAAGCGTACTAAACAATTAAGAAATTTTCGTTGTTAGTTGTAGAGATGTTGAAGATATAGAAAGCTTGAAGTCGAAGACCAACTAGATTTAGCGTTTATCTCATCTACTGTCCTTTAAATGTCGTTTTAGCTTTAAAAATATAAAGAAACCACAAGATGCCATTTGTCGAGCATTACGTGCTTCCGGCGAAATCCAGTCGTTTCAGAAGAAATTTAATTGCCTCTTGTTTTTTATTCAAAATAATAATGAAAATTGTTTCACCGTATGAAAAATAGACAGAAGTCACAGGATGTCATTTCTGGAGAATAGCATAGTTCCCGCGATATAGATTGTCATTTTAAAACAATATTTTATTACCACCATTCATGCTTGTCCAAAGTATTTGTGAAAATTGTTTCACCGTATGACATTCCCATTTGTTAAAAAGCATCTATAATGATAATTACATCAACCATAATCCGTTATTACGTCGCAATTATTTTATAGTCGGTTTTGTTTTTTTAAGAATTTTAACTTTTATTTCGAGCGTTCTTTTTAGTATTATAAAATTTGCTTATGGTTGTGGTGAACCATGAAGATCTGCTGGTATAGCCATTTTTAAGAATGGTAAACGGCACTTGGTTGTCGAAATTGACGAATGGTTTTGGCACGCACACCCGACCGCTGTTACCTATTTGAACGGCATGAATTTGTCTGCATCATTTATAAATGTGTAGTTGTGACATAGCATCGTCGAAAAAGACTTTCAATAATATTTTGAATATTTTACTGCATTTAATACCATTTGAGTTTCAGTCACTCTGATCCGACATTTTTTTTGACGTAGACCCAGCCGATTTTCAACTTACTTATTCTTATTTAATATGTTTGTAGAATTGCCATTATTGGCCAAAGATCTATTACATTCATGTAGACTCTACAAATTCTTGCTGTTGACTATTTCATTTCGACATAATGTATATATTCTGACAGCAACGATTTCAACGATTATGTTTAAGAGCCACACGATAAACAAGTATTTCCAATAGTTGTATTGCTGTTATATGTTTCTTAATTTGTTTGAGCTATTGTTGTTATCATAAGTGTTTAAATGTGGAATAAGAAATTTTATATGCCAATTCTTTGATTCACAAACGATATTTAAACATATCCAACTGAGAATATATTGTAGTTATTGTTAACACGGCTATAACTACTTGTGATTATTCCAACGTTCCATAATAAATCCCATATCAATAAAATACGACTTGAAATTGTCTGCTTGTCAAGGCATATATTTTTTTACAAATTGTTGCAAGATTTTTGAAACTATATTGATTTGTAGTACCCTTCCATGTACGTTAAATTTTTTTGTTAAAATAGAATAATATCCCATTGTGATATGCGATCTCAATATCAATTCAAAAGCTTTCTTTGGCAATAGTTTGTCACGATAATATCTGCTTTAAACATCCTTTTGGGCTATATCAACAACAATTGATCTGAAATAATAAAATAAATTTAAAATCTGAGCTTATTTATAATACTTAAAATATTACCTTTAGTTTTGCAGCTATATTAACATATACAGTTAAGAGTTAATAGACAAGATAAGATAATAATTTATTGTTTATCGTAATAATGTAGCACAAGCAATTAGACAACGAATTCGTCCGCTATAAGTCCATCGTTATCCCATCTACTTTTTTCAATTTATCACTCTTTATTCTCCAACATTTATGTATAGAAGAGATTAAATGTTCTCCAAAATTAAAGATGATTGGCCGATATCCATTTGAGTGATATGCAAAGAGCATTAATCTGACATAGTGTCAATATCTACATGCAGGTTTTGGTAACGAAACTGTTATGATTTGAAAGAATTAATCGTTTCCAAGTCAGCTTTTCCGATTATGATATTGGTAACCTATGCTGCAGAGATTAATAAATATCTTTAAAATATATAAGACCGCGAATATTTGTAACGGATTCTCGGTATTGTTTTTTGTGTAAACAACGTTTTATCCCAACTGATGCCGCAGATCAGCCGTAATGTAAAATTAAGTAAAGTAATCAGGCTTAGTATGAGAAAGTAAACAAATATATAAGCATATAGCTTGAAGTATATCAGTTAAGAAAAGAGATATCTCTATTGTGAGAAATAATGCTATTGTTGTTGTGGCTCACAGAAATCTATAAAGCAAATAAAATGAAAAGACGTATACATGGTATAAAATGTAGATAGGTGATGGTAGAGTGAGACGGCAAGAGACTATTTAGGTGTAAGAATGTATTGAGGGTAAGGAATTATATTTTATTGCTATTCATTTTGCATATGGACGGGAACAAAAATGAATTCTAAAAATGAACTAAAAAAAATAAAAACGCGTTAACATTACAAACCTTTAATATTGAAAAGCTATATATGTGTACAGTTTCGTTATTAAATGTTGGTCAGTGTGTTTAAAATTATGTAGTACTACTAACTAAAGCTAAAGATTAGCCTGTTTAATTATTAAAGGTAGAATAATGTGTAATGATAACTAGTTTGGTAACAGGCAAAAAGAAGACTATTTTTTGTACATTAAGATACTATTGAAATCCAAAAAATTACATATAATAAAATAAGTAAATTTTAGAAAGTAAAAATAATCTTTACTTAGAAACTAATCTAACAATCGTCCCTATTTATTTCACACTTTCTTTAACTGGCCATATTTTAACCCAAACAAAATCTCCCTGGTCTTAATGTAAATCTCTTAACTTTTCGTAATGCATTATTTTTCTCCTTATAGAAGCTATCGAGATTATCCTAAATCACCGTGACTATATCGCCGGTTCAAAAAACGCATTTTAACAAAATTACTTATGTATTAGCACTAATATACTATTTTGCTACCAAAATATGGATTGAAGACCGTTTACCGAAAATGTTTGATTAACATTTCCAAAATGAAGAAACCCAGAATATTATCGTGCTGACGATTGATAAGATCAATACATTATACTAAAACTACATAATAATAGCACTTGTAATTTTACTAGCAAACAATGTATCAAAAATGTTTAATCAATACTTCTAAAATATAAAAAAAAAATAATCCGAAACGACATTCTATTGACGAAATATAAGAATAATGCCACGTACGAAAAATGACTCGGAAACCTGTATAGAAATGTTAAAGTCCTAAAGAAATTTTACTATCAAGCACTGGATCCAAGACCGTTACTCGAAAATGTTTAATCAATACTTCTAAAATACAAAAATAAATAACCTTAAACGATATTCTTTTGACGACTTATAACAATAATGACATGTAGTAAGAATTACTGCAAAACCTATATAGAAATCTTAAAGTCCTGTTGAAAATATGGATTATATATTAGTGCAGCTACTATAACAACAAATATATTCATATCGAAAATACTTATTATGATATGAAAATAAAGATGATATGACATTCTAGGCCCAATATTAACTAATTCAGTGTTCACATCGAACTTGGTTCTCTTCCTATCCAACTCAATTTCACATGGCTGGGTTTACGATTATTGAAAAATGTTTTAAATTTAAAAAATTAAAACTATAAAATATAATGCAATAATAATGTTGCGCATTTAAGCTGTGAAAATATTTATTCAGTTGGTTTGCTTTAGTTCTGAAGAAATCAATCTATTCCATTGTCTTGACCACAGCACTTTTAATTGCTTATAACTGTGCAAGCAGGTTTTAATTACAAACGCAAAAATAAACATATTTCAATATTAAGAAATTTGTTTTTTTCTCAAATTCCATTGAATTCATTAAAATTAACGCTAAAAAAAATATAACATAACGTTATGAGTA